GTATTCCAAGGCCTTTCAATTTCTACACACTTCCAGTTGCGGGTCTCTGTATAGTGTGTTCCCATCTACTGCAGAAGGAAGCTGTCTTTGATGCTGGCTAAGACACTGATCTATGGGCATAGCAGGTTAAGAGTCATTTACTATGCTCCTTTAGCACTACAACAGTTTTCCCCCTAGCTCCATGGCATATCTTGTCTAAGGTTCTTGGCCACAGGAGCAATGTCAGGCATGAATTCCATCTCGAACTCAGCCTGAAATCCAGATAATGGTTGGTTACTCCCATAACTTCTGTGCCAGGATTTCATCAGTGTATCTTTCAGACAGGTCCCTATTGTTGACTGAAGGGTTTGTAGCTGGGTTGGTGTTTAGCTTTCTCCTCTGGTAGTGTACAGAATACCTTCCAGTACCATGAAGGCCAGTACGGGGGTAAAAGCCATAGGTAGGCACCCGCTCAGCTTCTTAGTCTTCAGCGAATAATGTGGTAGTCTTCACCAACAGGGCCTCACCATCAGTTTGTAGAGAGCAACCAAGAGCCTTGACAATAGCCTGAGTTGTTTAGGGATTTCCACGGCACCCCTTTGGTCAACAACTCAGTTAGATGTAACCCATTTCTGGTCCTAGAGGATTTGTTTGGTGGTGACATGGGTCCAATTGGGTTTTGTTTTGGCGATTCCATTTAGATTTCATTCATATCTGTATTTTAAGAAGCTCATATTAGGTCTTAATATTACCCCACCAAATGGCCATTAATGTTAGCTGTCCCTCCCTGCATTTCCTCACTCCTCTCTTCCCTGCTCGATTCCTTTTAATTTTCGAGGAAAGAAAAAAAAAAAAAAGGTTCTAAGTTGTGGTAGAATATTATTTTACATTATTATTGACTTTTGTTTGTCTCCTGAATTTCTTTAACTTTGTGAAGCTGTGATTCTTTGACTGTCTAAAACACCTGGTGGTCCTAATCAATGGCCAATAATGAGGCAGGATCAAGGATAGGCGGGGATGGCAGACAGTACAAATAGGAGAAATGACAACAAGGAAAGGAGGACATCAGGTGTCAGTCACCCAGCCAGATATGGACCAAGAAGGAAAGTAAGATATATAGAAAGAAAAAGAGAAAGGAAGAAAGAAAAGAAAGAAAAGAAAGAAAGAAAGAAAGAAAGAAAGAAAGAAAGAAAGAAAGAAAGACAAGAGGGGAAAGGTAGGTAGAGGGGATAATTAAAGATAAGAAAAGCTGGCTATGAACAAGCCAAGCTAAGGCCAGGAATCCATAACTAAGAATAAGCCTGTGTGATGTATTTGGGAGCTGGGTGGTGCACACCCAAAAGAGCCAAAAAGACAAAAGAGTAGCCATAACACTAAGGTTTCAACTTCTGTTACTTTTTTGTTATTTAGAATCTTTTTTACAATGTTGAAAGGGTTTGAGGATGATGGAAATTAGTGATATTATACTTTTAAGGCTTAATTGGATGACTTTCCCCATTCTTGTATGTTAGTAATTTGTAACATGGTTGTGCTGCTCTTCCAATCAAGATAATCCATTTCATTGACAATGGGGCTGCTTTGGGAAACAGAACATTAATAAATAGAACAAACAGTGGCATGGAAAGGATTTGCCAACTGGGACCTACTCACTTGCTGTTCTTGCTACTGCTGTATAAATAAGTCTGGGCTGGCTTGATGGACGATGAGAGATATGTGGCCTAAGCATCCCATTAGTCTGGCCAGTGGCCTGCCAACTACCAGACACATAAGGAGATTTTAAATTGTCTAATCATCTGTTCATCAATCAGCTGACTGTGGACATGTGAGCCAACCAGGCAGCAGGTGAGGCAGGCCAAAAGAGTCTAGCCAACATAGCATGAGTTTGCTAGACTAAAACTAACTGAATGGCACTAAAATTAATCATTATTCACTAATTATATCAATAAACATCTAATAGATCCTTCTAAATTAAGGGTCTCACCCAGGCACAGACACTCAACAGGAAATCTACCTAGAGAGTTCCCAAGTAACCTTGTTACAGATACTAGTAAACAGAAATGGTACTGCAGTGTGATCAATGCTGAAAAATAACTAGAAAAACAAACCAAAATAAAAGGCGACAAGAAAGTATAAGAACAGTGTGATCAGAATTATATCTTCACCAATGAACAATGCAAGTTGAAGGAGAACATTTTTATCAAAGGAAATAGGTGAAAAGGTTCAGCAACATTAAAAGATACAAAGTTTTGGAGAAATAAGTACAGTGAATAAGAAAGATAGAATGTAATGTGGAATAGAAGACAATGAAATATGGGTTAAATGACCTGTTCCCTAAACAGTACACAAGTTCCATTAATAAGAAGTCACAGAGTAACAAAATACAATGAACTGCCAGAGCATGAATAAGAGTTATTTGCTGTGTTCTCCTTTTGAGCCTGTTTGGCCTGTGTAAGTACAGCTATTGTAGTACAAGTCTCTTCTTGTCTTTTTATCCTGATGATCTAGTCCACAGTATCCTCATCATGGTAATCTCACTTAATTATACTTATTGTCATTCCACTTAGAGAACATACCCTTTAGTTGGCATGAATACCCCCAGTTATATGACAAGTACAGCTATTTGCAAAGCAATTTAATTGCTGAGTCTACGATTTTGCAAAGTTGGTATCTTTGCACTCTGTACAGTTGTTAGCTTCAAATGACTTGAAATCAACTCCTTCCAGAATCATGAGAAATAAATTAATTCCTTGAGGGAATTCCTAATGACCATATGTACATAAATATGCCAAAGTACACCTTTTGGAAGTATTTAGGGAATTATGTAGTTAAACATTTTAAGTAAATCTTTACCATAATCCTTTGCTTTACTGGAATTTGTCCATTTGTCTAACATCATTATGAGGTGGTAAATTATAGAAAAATAATAAATTACCTATAAAACTTGAGAGTTTAGAAGTCTCCCAGAGTCAAACCTACATGGGAACAGGAATGAGTGTTTACTAAGTATGCAATGAACACAATAACAATTTCAATCTCACCAAATAGTAAGTAATCATTAAAGGCTTACAAAGCTCAAGAATCGAGTAGTTTCTTTTCCACAAGACAATACAAAAGGAGTTTTTTAAAAATGCAGAGTCCAATTTATTAAATCTTGCCTAATACATAATTGTATTTGTTCTTTAAAAGGAACATAATATATAAAAAACATAAAAATACTTTTTCAAAGCATTTTAAAAAGTCACAGGGATCATAACAAAATGCAAAGTAAAAAAAAAAACAGAAAAAATTACTAGGTCACAGTTGTCTTCGATATAAGGAAATTATGAGTAATCAGCTTTATTTCTACTGTCATCAGTAAGTCTAAATGGGACTCACGGATTTTCCTGAGAATTTTAATCTAATACATCTGCTATGTTATTAATGCTATTTTAAATTAATTCTTATCTTCAGCTTGAACATTTTATAAGTCTTGGGGACAGATTTTTGTGGGGATTTACTAATGACCTCAAATACCACATCCTTCTCAAAAAAACAGGTGTAGTAAAATGCATAGAACATAAATAAATGTACAATCTTAGATTACATGATTTGTGACAATCAGTATGTCCCCAGTACTGTGCAATCATCATCAGTCATGTTCTAGAGGACTGCTATTACTCCGAAAAGAAACCATCTGCTCATTAAGTAGACATCCCCCTTTCCTTTGGTAACCACTAATCTGACTTGTTTCTCTGGACTGACTTATTCTAGTTCTTATTAATGCAATTACATGTGGCCTTAGTGTCTAGCACCTTACTTTTTTTTCAATTAATACCATATCATTTTGAACTTTGTAAGTGTAACTCATAAAAAATTAAGGTTAGGGTGGAAACTACACAGCCTGTGAGATAAGTGAGTACATGTACTTTTCTGAATGTAAATCCATTCAGGCAAACTATACATTTTAAATGCAAAATTAAAATCTTTAGAAGTCATATTCACTGAGATTTTGGCCACTCAAAGAAAATTTCATGTCAGGGTTACTGAAATATTGTGGGAAATCAGTACTGTTGTTCTCTGCTTATGTAAAATGAATAAAAATAATTAGTGTAAGTAATTAGAAAAAGACATTCAACTAACAATTATTCTTTCTGTATTTTACCCTTGAACATATGGTGGTTTAATTTTGATTTCTATAGCCTATTTTGGTTACATAACATAGCTAAACCTGAAATGCTATAATTAAAATGTTTTGAAACTACAAATCTGTTTACTGTTGAACCTAAAGACACTTTTTTAAAAAGTTGAATACATTATTTAAATAAAATTGTTGATGAAATCAACTAATTTTGACTACCAGACCAGGCTTTTAGAATTCCATATAATTAATCTAGGTATTTTGATCGCTTCATTAGAAAACTTAAGCCACAGAATCAACATGCATCAAAACTATAACTTACAAAAAAAGTTTTCAACAACAACAACAGCAAACAGCAGAGGTTTTGTTTATTTAAGTGCTGGTGTAGAGTTCTACACACATGGAGGACAGAGGACACCCTTCCTTAAGTGTCATCTTGCAGGAACATCATTCACCTCTTTTGAAGGAGCACTTCTTGTCGGTCAGTTCACCAACAGGGCTAAACTGGCTGTCCAGTGAGTCCACTTGTCTCTACCTCCTCAGCTCTGGGGTTACAAGTGTGTGTCACCATTCCTGGCACTTTTTACATGTTCTGGGAATTAAGCTCATGTCCCTGTGCTTATATGGCAAGGGCTTTACCAACTGAGCCATTACCCCAGGCCCAGTTCCTTTCAAACTTTTGAATGTTCTTTTATCACTGGCTCTTAACTATCACATAATAGCCTAACAATGTCACCTTTTGACTAGAAATAAAAGAAAACTGTCTGACTCTTATCAGTTTATTTCCTTCTTTAATAATCTTCTCTGATAAAATTTAAATAATTTATGCTAAAAAGGTAAAAACCCAATGACTTTTATCTTTAATGGCAAAGGATAATTGGATCTATGACTCTGATATCAAGAATTCAACTGAAATGTCATTTTATTACTTCCAACACATGAAATAACACCACCACTAGAACTATCGACAGAACAGCCATTATCTAACATAATCATGCAAATGTGTTAGTAAAATGATTTTGGAGATGCTAAAAACTGTATTAGTATTAATGAAAATGAAACCATTTATTTCCCTTGTCAATTTGCTCTGAAATATTTTTCCTTGTCTTAACAATGGAAACTTCAATACAGCATAACAAAGGACTGAAAAATTATTTTAGAGGTCTGTATCAATAAATTTTTACTGTATTCTTACAGTATGCTAATGAGCCATGTTTGTAATCCAAATTTACTTCTCTGTAGTTTATTAAGGCCAAGTCACTCTACACCTAATACAATGGAACATCAATCCAACTAGAAAATTTTGAAATGTTCTAAGGTAACAAACCTCAAGATGATCAATTATGAAGATTAGATGTCAGGCACATTTACATATATGCAGTTAACATCTATATTTTTTCAGCCACAGATGAAGCAACATTCTTCAAACCTTTAGTAAAACACCTCAGTTTTAGGAAGAGTTTCCAAAGTAACATACCACACTCCGTTAGTGTATTTCCTTTGGTATTACACAAAATTCTTTCCCTAACAGTAAGAACTGAATACTCAGATAACAATAACTTCCTTCCTTTTACTTAAATGTCCCTTCTCTTTCTGCATCTGCGAGAGAGATCCCTGTCAGGACACGTTCCTATTAGACTGAACGCCTCAATATTCTCATCATAAAACTTGAAGTTGAAAACTATGATCTCAAACAGTTTTCTAAATAACAGGAAATAGCTATATAAAAGGTTCTTGTAATTTAGAAAGACTTCAGTTGACTTAGGCTTCACTGAAATATTTTTTTGTTCTTTCTGGAAACCAGGTTTAGATTAATACTCTATTGGCACATTATTTTAAACACAATGGGATGAGGTAGTCCTGAGTACTTTTGTTTTAAGGGCATAACCAAAACTCTGCTTCATAGTTATGAAGACAGATGGTAAGACCATTTACAGCAACATTTAGATAACCAGGCAAGCATAAACCCCATGTCTTTTAGTCGGGGATGGAAAATACATAAACAAAAAATTTTGTTTTACACCAAAATCCAATAGTCAAACCTCTACAAATAAAATCTCTTATCAATATAGTAACAACCTCCCACACCTGGCTTTGTGGAAAACACCATTATTTTTCGATATTATTAAGGTTAGCATATTCAATGTGAAAGGACAGAATACAACACTGATATATGCAAATGGTGGCAAAGACCTAGAAACAGATTCTATACCATGATAAATCAGATACCTACACTTAATATTTCTGATTGGATTGATGGGATTATCATTAAATATCTTTACAGGATTAATCCAGTATTTCTCTACTTCTACACTTTCCTTCTTTTAAAAATTTAGTGATTTTGCAATCATTAAAGAGAACAAGACTACTCAGCTAAAGGTTACTGATAATGAATTAAAATTTACACAGTAATTTACCTTAAAGGAAATCAACACCAGTAAGAAACTAGGGAAATTTAAAATATTGCTTTGTTTTTTAACAAAAAAACCAAGTTATAGTACCCAATGCATTTTATCACATGGTTAGAAAATTAACGTATATATTTTTAATTTAAACAATTTTAATAAATTATGGCTGTTCATTTAGGATTTCAAATATGTACACACTCACCTGAATAACAAAGGAGAGACAGTCAGCAAGCCCCAGGCTTTCCAGTAAGATTGCTTATGAGGCCTTAACCATAGATAAAGAACTAGTTTACTAAGGAATACTGAGAGTGGGAGAAAGTCTTCCCGAGGGAAAAATGCCCCAATTGGTTTTCCAATACCAAGTGGTCAGCCCTGAAATCATATACACAAAAGTAAAATTTGTGGACTGAGCAGGCTGTATTTATATATTTAGGAACATACACACACAATTAAAAGAAAAAGAGGTCATGAATTTGAGAGAGAGCAAGAGAGGTACATGGAAGGCACTGGTGGGAGAAAAGGAAAAGGGGAAAAAAGATGTAAAAAAAATTAAATTGCCTCTTACGGTGTATCATAATCACCTGGATATCTGAACACAGATTGTTGCTTCTTACCCCCAAGAGACCTGTGAGGTCTCAGAAATAGATGACAAAGAGTATACAATAATATCTGGTGAAGATGCACACAACTCAGGATATCCCTTCGTCCCCAAGCTCAGGCTTTCAGAGATCACAGCAGGAGGCAGAAAAGTGTGCAAAGACTGGTACTTAGCAATTTGCTCTTGAGAAGACAGACTATGGGGGGGTGGGACATGACACGGGATAACAATGACAACTCAGGAAAAGAATATGGTCATAAAACACATAAATGATGTGGATGACCATCATGCCTACCCATGGGTTACTGAATAAGATTCTGCGAATTATGAATTGCATGATTATGAAATACTTTGATGTTAATTAAAAATTTTCAAATGAACTATGATGATTTTGGAAGAGTATTGGAAATCTAGATGTAGTTCATTCATATAAGGTGTTAATAGAACAAGTCACTATAAATTACTTAAGAGAAAAAATAAAAACATGAAAAGGTTAGTGAAATGTAAAAGGAGCTACAAGAAACAGAAGAAGTGGAGTCACAGAACATGGAAATGTGAGCAGACGCTGAAACTTCTCATCTTAAACAAGCTCAAAAAAGAAATGCTCATTTTTACTTTTAATGAAAAAATAAGGTTTTTTTTAAAACTAACAATATAATAAAGAAGTAACATAACTTGAAATTTGTCTTAGAAAATAATGGAAAAGAAAAATCTAAGAAATGAATGAAGTAAGAAACAAGCAACAGGTCAAGAAAATTTAGAGAATTTAATAAGAAATCATACTTCTTCAGTCATCAGACAGAACTCAGAATTCAAAACCTGAGATATAAAATCTCTGAAATGGATTAAGTATTAATGAAGTAAAACATGAAAAACATAAGGGCTGTTCCCTGGGGAAATTGGGAAATAGAAACTCATCAAATGAACTGAGAAAGACTACAGATACCTAAAGGAGGTCAATACACAATTTCTTAAACAATGAAGCACATCACATCTTGACCAAAACCACGGAGCAGAAAACATGCCCCTGAGTGCCCTTGTATTGTAAACTCCAAAGGTACTTGGGACCCAACAGATGTTTTCTTCTATAAGAAAATTTGGTGGCTGCAACTTGGGGCCCACCACCAATCCTTGAATGAGAATGACAAGAGGAGCAGCTCAAGAGCATTTTCAGAATATAAGAGGAAAATCATCCTTCCCTCACAAGTCAGTAGCAACTCCCCAATGTCAAATCTGCAACCAGAACTCTTAAAAAACAAGTCAGGAATAAAAGTGAAACAGAAAAATATGAGCATCTCTATCTGGAAAGATTAGAGAGTACAAACTCATTGTCGAATAGTAGCAACAGTCTAACGAGGGCAAAGAAGAGAACAATGAGAAGCATTCTGAGGAAATAAAGCACTCTAACATCTAGCATCTAACATTCTAACGTCTGGACAGCTACTGGCTCATAGTCATGCTAGTTTTTTCTTTGGGTTTCAGGTTTTTCAGGTTTCTGACATAATTCTTATTTTTACCTTGGTGAAATACTAAGTTGTTCAGTTAACTTACTCATTTTAAGTTAAACACACAATAATACTTTGATAAAGACAAATTCTATACATTTTTAAAGTTCCAGAGCTTTCATTTTTAAGAGATAGCCTTTTCCTAATTTAATAAATGTAACTAAATTTTAACTTTCTTTTAAAGGGTGCATTTTCACTACATTTAGGGAAAAAAATGCCCATGATTAGAGGAAAACTTGGAAAAGTGTTTGCATTAGCTTCTAAGTGATTTTTAATTTGGCTGCAATTCATAGTACTTTAGAGTACTCATACAAGTTCATTCACGAACCAGAGAAGAATACTTTTTATGACATTATACAAACCTGTAAAAACAATGTTCAACTTCTGCTTTCACCTAAATTCTTAGTATTTTCCTAAATAAGAATATAACATTGTTACTTTACTTACCATGGTTCATGTCAGTTTTTGTAAAATATGGTCATTGTGTTTTTAGGATTTTATTTATTAGTAGTAAAATTATTTCATTAAGCAATTTTTTGAGCTTTCAGTTCCTGTGTCTCCCAAAGTTGCCTCCACATGAAGGACCGATGGCTAAAATGCAGTGATACCAACAGCAATTAAATATTAACTACCATGAAGAATGAGTAATACTTTTTCTATCCAGAATTTCATGCAAAATTCCATATTGTTGTTCCATGTCAGTAGTTGTAAGACTCAAGTTATATTAAGTGTCCATTTCTGGGTATGTAAAGCTAACTTCAACAATAAGAAAGCAGCTGAATTATGCTTAATTCAAATGTGATATATGTCTAGTGCTTAACTATCACTTTTTCACCCAGAATAAATTGCAAAAAATATTTATTTGAACAAAATAAAAAAAGTAAATAGAAAAAGTTTTCATGTACATATGCTGTTATTAAAATATCCATTTCATTTGGTGAAAAGGTGAAAAAAATGTTAAGTATCTCATTGTGAAAGTAGATTTAAATTTACAAATCATGAATATTTAAAAAGTACAAACATAAAACAAAAGGTTAATGCTTGTATTACCTAAATATAGACACATTCTTCAGAAAAATTTAAAAAGCAAAGTTATATCCTGTCATATTTGATTACTATTTCTACCTTTTGGCAGAAACAAAGGTTGTTGTTGTTATTATTATTATTATTATTATTATTATTATTATTATTCCTTGTTTAATGCAATTTAATCTCACAGTTGAAAAAGAAAGTTTAAGCACCAAAATCACAAATTCTCCTAACTTAAATGACAGGTGTGGCAAAAAAAGTGATTAGTCTTTACTACTGCACATTTCAACTCTAATAAAGGCTTGATGCTGCCAACAAATCTCAAGCAGCTGAGATTCCACCTTTAATGCCCAAGGACACTTCTCCCCAGGCTGACCACCATATCTGGGAAATAGGAATCAGTAACCACCAAGTACTCTCAAAACAATGTAGAAAGAGAAGACACAATTGATTTTCAACATCACTAACCATGTCAGCTAACCAATGCCAGAATTTATCCGGACAAATTATGTATGTCTCTACCTCTGGAATTTACTTCTAAATATTGACACTGTATGTTCATTTCTTTAAAGTAAGCACATTAAGTGAATATGGTATTTGAAAACTGTAGGTTATTGACTACTTCATTACTACACTTGATCTTTACAAAAAGACACAATTCTTATGTTCTGACAAAGAAATATGTGAAGCATAACTGGAAACATTTCAAAAAGATTATCAATCAAGACAGGTATCTGCTTGATGTTAACTTGCAAATTTTCACATTTTTAAAAGTCTCAAAACAATGCCAGTGTATTTTTATAGACCTATATAGTTCATTATATGAACATTTTAAAGGCCCCTCAAAAAGTCAAACCCTTTGTATTCTGAATATTTGAAGTTTATTCAAACAATATGCAAAATTCAAACTTATAGTGAGGTATATTTTCTTTTCAAACATTAGATACCTAGGAAAATATAAAACACCATGAAAATTTCAAGTTAAATTCATAGGCTTGCTTTGTTTTTACTTAATCTGTCATATAATACATTGTGTCATGACTCCTCAGATAAGGAATTTAATGAAAAAGAACTGCATATGATCAGTTTCAGCATAAGACTAGTAAGAAAAGAGGATGAAAACATTTTTGTGAGTTGTTTTAAATGCATGAAGTCATTATTGTGCCTTTATGTAAGTACTGGAGATCACATATGATCAATAATTACAAAAGAAAAGTATCAGAAATACTTCATAACAATCTTATGGCAGTGTTTAAACAACTGAATGTGTTCTGTGGAAAAAAAATCTATGCAGGAAAAATCTGAATCAAAGTTTTGCTTTTGATAATATGGGCTTCAACCCACAGGAAACATATAAAATTAATTTTTTGATGAAATCCTTTTTAGTTTGAAAAGCAAAAATTTTCAGAACTTAAATATGCACACCATTAAAATTATTAATTTGAAAAAATATGCAGATAAAGATTAGATTACCCTGTCTATCAATGTTCCAACAATTTCACACATTTCAAATATTAAGGCAACTTTTTTTTCCAACTAACAGTACATTATAAAAATATATGTCACTGCAAAACAGTATGTACATAGTGACAATAAATTTAGCTAGTTGTAGTCTTTAATACATTAATAAGTGTCACATATTACAAAGAACTCATACCAGGTGCTTGCATGTATGTGCAAGTAAATACAGTTTTAAAGCACGGGTTTTAAAACTGAGCGCAGTGAACGTCCTTCTTTAGTAAGTTCTCGAGTCACACACATACATGGCAATGGGATTGCTTCCTCCCGTTTCTCTATAACATTGTAACTGCAAGTCTTCAAGTGATCAGCCATGCTTAGGATGTCAGCAAATTTCCATTCATTAACAGAACAAAATGCAGTACTGAATCGCCATACCTAGAAGAAAATTCTACTTTAGATTTAAATAGTCCAATCAATAGAAAATCAAAATGCCCTTTTTGCTGTGCTCTAGCTGCTGCACTTCTTTTCTATTGCTACAGAAACATAAAATATCTAGCTACAAAATTAAAAAGGATACCAAATACAATGTGTCGTGTAGTAATATTACATTGTTTAGGGAATAATGAGCAGAACTGTGTGTGCAAAGTGTGTTCAGTGCACTTTTTCCTAAACATTTTTTTATCTGCAGTTGGATTAATCTATATAACTTGGAAGCCACAAAGACAGAGGCCAGCTCCACAAGGTAAACAGCAGATACTCTAGAAAGTAGCAGTACTGGGTGGGATGAGGGCAGCATTCATAACCATTTTTCAAGATGGTAATGGTTTCCAAAGTAATCAGATGCCCTAAAATTCTGTGACAAAAGAATTTTTCAGCTGACAAGAAAAACCATCATTGTCAGGTTGGTGGCACAGGCCTGTATGTAATCCCAGCTACCCAGGGGATGAGGCAGGAGGATAACAAATTCAAGTCCTGCCTGGACTACAGAGTGAATTCTAGGCCAGTGTGGGCAATTTAATGAAACCCTCCATTACATTAAAAAAGAAATAAGAGGGCTGGGAATTAGCTAAGTAAGAATATTTGCATAGCACATGGGAACCCCTAGGTTCAACCCCCAACATAAATAAATAAATATCTGACAAGTTACTGTTCGTTTTGTAAAGCAGAGGCAATAATAGGTTAATGAAAGTAATGTAAAAATGTGTGCTATCTAGCACACTGCAGATGTTTAAGTGTGGATACCACAAAGACATATCCAAAAGCTTTAAGGCAAGAAACATAACATTAGAAATGGAAGCGGCCGGGCGATGGTGGCACTCCTTTAATCCCAGCACTCGGGAGGCAGAGGCAGGGGGATCTCTGAGAGTTCGAGGCCAGCCTGGTCTCTAGATCGAGTGCCAGGATAGGCTTCAAAGCAACACAGAGAAACCCTGTCTCGAAAAAACAAAAAACAAACAAACAAAAAAAGAAATGGAAGTGAAAGTGACTAGAGTATGAAGTGACTGGAAGAAACTGAAGAGGTAAGGACAAGACTATGAGATATTTTAAATGTTTCATTAAGGAGCTGGCTTCTATCCCTGAGGAAACATATAAATAGTGAATAAGATTTAAGTACTGCATCAACTATAATAAATATACTTAAAAATACATAATTCTAACTTTTATATAGAAAATATAACCCAAAGCTCTGGTAGTAATCCAGAAACAATCGAAGGTGAAATGGTGAGGCAAACCTGAGAGGTATGAAAAAGAACCAATCAGCTAGAATTTGGGAATAAAGAGTCAACACTAACCCTTAAAGCCCTGGTTTAGGCAGCTTAGTAAACAAAGATACTACTTCCTGAGATTAAGTAGGCAGAGGGTTTGTGTTGGGTCTGCGGAAGCTGTAGGATAATTAAGCAGATATGGTCAGTAGATGCTTGCATACTGTGATTTAAGCTCAATACAGAAAACAGGAGCATACTGATACAGAATCTGTATAAATGATAGCAATTTGATCATCACGACTAGGTCTCTGTAGAAATTTACACTATCAGAAAATACTTCATTCCATATGTAAATACTAGTGACTAAGGACAAAAACAATTACAGTACCTTACTCCAAAGGATAGAAATGTTCCCAATCATTTAGAAAATAAAAAATACACATATATAGCTGGCTGAAGAAACTATGTCACCAGAACTCCCTTTTGGGGAAAGAAAACAGAGAAGCAGACACAGATTTTTTTTTTTTTTAAATGTGTAGAGCAATGAGTAAAGACAAAGCCTAACGAAAGGCCAAGAATAAATTTACATAAAACTGAATGCTATGCAGCCAAATATTTTTTATCCAAGTTGTTAGGTAAAGATTCTATTATGTGTTGTGGAATATTTTAACTAGGCAAGGATATGTTATATTTGTTTATGGTGTGGAATATTATTTTAACTGTGTAAAGGTGTGTTACATTTATTTATGCTGTATTTGTTTAATGATGTAAGGATGTGTGTTTAATGATGTAAAGATGTGTTACATTTGTTATGTAAAGATGTGTTGCATTTGTTTCACCTTGCCTATCTAGGGCATGTGACTGATCTAATAAAAAACTGAATGACAGAAAGGGATAGGTGGGGCTGGGGGGGGAGGAGGAGGAAGAGGAATCTAGGCTCAATAGAGAGAAAGTAGAATGAGGGAGAAAGAGAGGACAAGCCTGGGGTCAGCCATGCAGCCACCAGCCAGCCAGACTCAAGAGAGAAGTAGTGAACATAAGATATACAGAAGGAAAAAAAAGGTAAAAAGCCCCAAGGTAAAAGGTAGATAAAGAGAAACAGGTTGATTTAAGTTAAAAGAGCTAGACAGATAAATGAACCTAAGCTAGGCCGAGGATTCATAGCTATTAAGAAGTCTCCATGTCATGATTTGGTAGTTGGTTGGTGGCCCAAAAGAAAGTCCAGTACAATTATGGGTCTCTAATTCCAGATATCTGTGATTGTCTTGGATAGTAGCTTCTGAGAAGCTACTCAAAAGCAGAGTGTAAATAAAATTTAAGTCTGCCTAAGTTTCCTTATTAATTTTCTAAATAATATTCACCCCCCTTTTCCAGGAAACCTAGTGTCTCCAAACACAGTACCAACCTGTCTAGCCTATTTATCTCACTTCAGCCTCACTCACCCATGAAGGCTATCACCCAAGTATATGTTGGTCAATTATTAGGATGACTGTAGTAACAGATTATGTATGTATGTATGTATGTATGTATGTATGTATGTATGTATGTATTTTCTCATCCTGAAAAAGACACTAATAGGAATGGAGACAATTAAAGGCTAAAGGGAATCCTCTTCTAGGTTCCTCAGCTGTCTTATGGCACAATGTTTCAGACAAAATTAGAAGATGACCAATAGTAACATGGGCACAAAGCTGTTAGTGAAGAAGGAAAACTGGTTGTCTGAAGACACAGAAATATTAGAACAGAATTCAGAAAAATCTGTGATATACTAGTGGTTGTGACTAAGACTTCTAATGACTTTAGCCCTTTATTATCACTTTTAAAATGTGTCAATATATTGACTTAGTACGTTATAGGATATGGTCACTTTTTCAAAAAGTTATTAGATATAGCACAGCATTAATAAGTGCCTACTTCGTGTTAAAAGCAATTAGTAAGTTGAAATTAAACTAACCTTTTCTTTTATCTGCCATGATGAATTTCCTTCTGGATACTTCTTTTTCCCCCACTGCAATATTACCATTCCACGAGACTGAAGTAGACTGCCACAAACATCCCTCATTAGCCTGGATACACATGCAAGCTGGCATAAACTGAAGCCATCAAGAAAGCCTGCAATATGTTGCAGTACCTCAAATGGGAGACTACTTAGATGGTCACTACGTAATCCCAACACACAGTTTCTTGAAGGCTCTTCTAATACTGTAGATACACATGGCTGAACTCCAAATGACCTTAAATGGCGGTCATGTATAATCTTTGCTCCTTGTGTTGATGGACAAAATCTACGCTGAGAATAGGTACAACCATAGTAAGCCAAAGGACACCTCTGTTCCATCCATCCATTGAGTCCAGCATGAATGTCACCATGTACGTTCTTAAAATGGGAAGAAAATTCTTTTCTTCTGAATAACTGTCCACATACAAAGGTAAACATCGAACGCTGCTTAGGCTGGTACCTAGCAACACATTCCAAAACTAAATCCAGCCCAAGTGTCTGAAAGGGGCTTGGATTTGAAAGCTGTGGATTGGCATGATCACATGCTGAAGCTGAAGCTATTTCTCCAACCATTGTATTTGTAGCTAATATTGCAGATGGAAGTGAGAAAGTCTGTGTCCCAAAGTCAATGTGATAAACATCAACCATGCGGCTATCAGATATACCCCTCCCACCTGGAGAATCTCCCAGACAAAACAGTAACGCTGCTGTAATCAGGTCTATTCCTTGGAGGTCCATGGGATCTTCTGCAACTTCTAAATCTGATGTATCAACTGCTTTGTCTTCCTTTGGTATATACCATGAATTAGAAAGAAACTTAAATGAAGGAGCATGACTGAATGGTGAGTCATCAACATCCTTCACATCCCCTAAATCTACCTTTTTCCAATACAAGTCCTCATCATCATCTTCATCTGTCATGAGAATATGCTGAAATGTACTATCCGGCAAAGCACTGAAAGGAATTACTTCCCTAAGTTGTGCTGCTACTAAAAGTGAACTGGAAGGTTCTGAAGTACCATCTGCTGCTGCACACTCTCCATTTTCTATGTTATTGTCTATAGAATCACCTGGAAATTTTTGATCCTGCTCTTTGATCTGTGAACACATATTTTCCAAAGGAAAGCCATTACAGAGAGCAGCAGTACCAAGAGAACTTGTACTTAAATCACATAGTAAATCACTTGACCCATTTTGTTCAGACTGAGCATTCTGGCTTATGCCATTATGGTCAACTCCACCTACTGCCCCCATCTCCTCCTCATAAAGGTGGTCCTGGCTTTTTAAGTTTCTTTCCTGGAAGCTCTCTCTGTTATTCTCATCCATCTCATCTGTGGTAGCAGAAAGACTTGTATTTAACATGCCAATGTCTCTTGTGGCAGAATTCAGGATATCTAAAGCAGCAGCCAAACTTCTAGTTGTTTCTACAGTGGCTTGATAAAGTGCACCATATGATTCTTCATCAACAGATACCAACCCATTAGTACATGGTATTTCCTGAACACTTGATTTCACTGAAATTTGTTCTCTGGGTTCAGATATTTTATCAGTTGCTTTTGACATCATGGTGGCAACTTTGAGAGATTCCAAAAGCATTCTTTGATCTTGAAGAGCCAAGGCCATGTCTAATTGTGCCACTTCATCAACATCTCTGCTTAGATTTTCATAAGATTTCCGGTCTGCGTAACTAACTGGCCATCGGTTCCATTCCATAGTACAGCACACCACACTTGCAGGACACATTTCTAGATGTTCAGCAACTTTATTTCGTGCCATGGTAAATGGACATCCAAAGTTACTATTTAAGCAAGGTACTCGTTCAAAGGGACACAAGAGTCGATGTTCATCAGCTTTACAAGAATGGAAAACTGCTCCACAAACCAATGGACAACCAATCAAGTCACAGGCAATCCCAGGCTCTGGTCTGGTCATACACCGTCTACTAATACAATTCACACAGTGTGAGTGCTGCTGTACCTCTTCTTCCATAATGGCCAGTCCAGCTCTAGTTTTTGAAACAGAAAAAGGTAAAGTCATTAGACAAAAAAATGGCAAATTTCTCAAAACTGTATAATAAATCAAATCACAGATATATTTTAGATTATTCTTGAGAATTAAATATGTAAAGCACATACAAACATTTAAGTGATTAATTTGATATATAATTAACACATCTTAAAGCAACGTAAGCACTTTTAATAACAATCTAGTGTTTTAAAATGTCATAGTTTCACATTTACATACTAGATGACAATATGTATAATAGGCACATTAATGACTTTCAAATATAATATTCAAAATATATATTATAAACTATAAGTATCTTCTTAACTCCCAAATTTCAGAGAATACTATAGATTTTAGCTTTTATATCTCAATTAACTTGATTTTGATATGCTTCATTGCAGATTCCTCATCATGTTAAGAACATATATATACATATATTACTTCTAAGGGCCAACTCTCATTCACTTTATTAAATATGAATTTTTGGCTAATTACTAGGTATCAGGCACTATGTTCCCTCTGGCAGTATATAAGTAAATTAGTATCTCCTCTTAAAGGAGTTACAAGGAGTAGAAGCCAAAACTTGTTCATGTTATGTGGATCAATACAACAGGAGGAAAACAGTAGCACAGAGAAGGTAATTAGCATAGAAAAGGGTAAACTAGTAAGAATGAGAACTTCATTTCTGAAGTAACAGCAAATGAATTGACAAAATATATTCAATCTTACTAATATTAATAGATTATAGTGAAATACAAGGAAGTTGTAAAAAATGAGGCCAAAAGGTAATTGGGCCAATCATGAATGTTATTTGCTGCTCTATGGAATTCAGTCTTTTAGTGAGTGAAAATCATTGATAAATTTAAGAGTAGAGAAACAGTTCTCTATGAGATAATGAAGGATTACAGACACTTGTCTTTTTTTTAATTTCCTATTTATTCTCTGTGTCTTTCACATTATGTCTCCACATCATGTCTCCAGATCTCACCTATCTCCTTCCTCCTAGCAAAAATAAAAAGAGGGAGAATCTTGTCATGGAATCTGCAGTGTGACACAGTGAATCACACAGCAACACCCCCCCCCATCCACAGATTTTACATGAAAGTCTTCATCCCAAAGAATCATTGGTCTGGTTTGAAGCCCCTGGTCTCTGGTACACCATCAATGCTGAGCCTTCCCTGGGATTCTTCCTGGACATTCCGTTGCTGCCCTGTGTCATGGAGATCTTGCAGCCCTGGGTCCACAAGATCAAACCCCACAAGATCAAGTTGGGGAAGGTCAACACATAACCCTGGATCTGGGCCTGGGTAGTTGCAGAGTTGCCCACCAGCTCTCCCCTGTCCTCACCACCAGAGTGAGCTCTCCTGTATCAGTCTATTTCACTGTTAGCAGCAAGGAGGAAGGGGCGGGGCCATTTCTCCCCCTTTCACACCCTCAGGGTCGGTTGTCTCACACCTATACCTTCAGGGCCAGCTCTACTTCTACTCCCCTGTGTTACACAGGGGAGGTATAGGGGCAGGGCCAGCTCTCTGGCTCTTATGACCACCTAACAGATGAGTAATGGGGACAGCTCTCCCATGCTCCCATGTTCGCTATATCAGGGCTGGCTCACCCACACCTCTGCCAACAGAGCTGGCTCTACTATGCTGCCCAGGCCAGATGCATGGTCTGCACTCCAGAATACGCATTTTAAATTTTTTTTGTTTTTCAAGACAGGGTTTCTCTGTATTGCTTTGGAGGTTGTCCTGTGGACCAGGCTGGTCTCAAACTCTCAGAGATCCACCTGCCTCTGCTGGATCATTAGGATTACTAACTCCTCTTGGACTGTTACCCTTCCTTTACCCATGTTATCACACTTAACCAAGTTCCCTCTTACCTCTCTGGATATTCTTTTCTTAAATACTACTTTTTTTTTCAGGATTTCATGTCATTCTTGTTCACACTACGAATTCCTCCTGGGTGTGGTATGTTTTTTCCAACTCTTATTTATCATTTATAGGCAGAAAACTTATCTATACATCCTGCCTAAAAATCTTCCAAACTCCAGACCTCTACAGCTATTATGTATCTCCATCTGTAGATTATAGAGGCAATTCAACCCAGTGTTTTCCAAAATAAATTACACTGTAGTGCATAATTTTCCAAATAAAAAGTTCTGTAGCCAATTTCTTCATTGGGTGCATATGACTGCTAACTCTCTGATATGTATTTCCAAAAATTCTAGCTTGGTTTCAGGTGGGTAATCACTCCACAAATTGTTACAAATTTTTTCTTGGTTGAAGACTAACATTCCTCAAACAGGAATAATAAAAACCCAGATGTTACGAGCAGAACTCTTCTTTATTAGTAGCAAAGTCCTGAGTTGATATTTTGATATTCAATGGTGCCATGGAAAAATGTACACATTCAACATCAAATCATTTTTAAATTGTGCTTAAAAAAGAGTTGAATACTTTCAAAATGTTGTTTTCTCACAAATTACATAGGCAAGAGTTGACTCTAAATTTAAACTACTTGTACTAAAAGAACAAGAAAGGAAATGAGAGAATAATTATGGCAAATATTTATAACTAAAGCAGTGAAAATGTTTAATAAGAATTAAGACAAACCTTGCTGAGGGATTAGACTGTGAAAACAGCAGGAGCTTTCTTATTTTGCAATAACAAGACTGAGTTTATCTCACATGCTACTAGAGGTTAAGCTTGACTGTTGCTAAGAGAGAAACCTAAAACTACAGGCAGTGACCACTGCTATAACTTGTATGAGCACTTTATGTGACTTTATGTTATTGTACACCCCATCACATAACCACACCAGGAAGAGCACATCTTAAAAATATTACCTAATTCAAAGGTGTTTAAAATAATGACCACTGCAATTCTGACTAACATTCCAAATAACAACTTGCAAGGATAGGTTCTCAGGTTTCAAAGTAAGAGGCCTCTTCATCATTACTCCCTTCTCAATAAAAATGCTTTAAAAAGAAAGTCAACCACAACAACACATCTATAGTATTTTATTACTTTTTGAAGTAGACTTCAAAAAAAGAGGGTAATATTAGTTGTATTACCTACTATATCCTTCTTAATATATACCAAGTCAATTTCCTGCAACTCAGAGAAAAATAGTGTTCATAAGTAGTAAGTGACTTGCCCAAAGTCATCTATCTAGTGATGAGGTAGGACTTAAATGTACATCTTATTTATAACCATGTGGAATAGCAGACATGTTTACTTATACAAAATTAAGAAAATAGCTCTTTAACAACTGGTGGTTCAATTTTAAGATGTTATTTGAGGAATGAAGATTACACAATTTCCTTGTAGTTTATTCTAACACTTCATCATTCTTATGGGTCAAAAATTTTTCATTCTTTATAATTATTACAGCACATTGCTTTGACCATGTTTTAAATATGAACATATGAAACAGTATGAATTTAACCATTCTCAGCATATCTACACAAAGTAAAGTAGGAATCTAGGCCAAGTCCATTTTATAGTTAAATACACAAAGAAATAAGAAAATACAATAATAGTCTTTCTAGGGAGAGAGACTTCAAAGTTTAAAGCTCTTCAGATCCATCCTCTCTCTCATCAAGATCATTATTATAAAATTTAAAATGCCTTCAAATTGCTCATGAATCCTGTGAAACAGGGTTTAAAACCTCAGTCCTTGATTTATCAGCTGAACAATGACACAGCAGGCCTAGTAGAAAACATGTTGCTAAAATTATGGCATTAAGTTCAAGATGAGCTTCATTAAACTCAATGGGTCTTTTACATGCTAAAATCAATTTCTATTAAGCTACACTTGAAAGAATTACTGAAAGTTTCCTTAGACTAAAAAATTATTTGTAAATGATGGAATGTTTTACAATAGTTTCCATTTTCTCTAACAGAAGCTGGTTGCCAACTCATACTCTGTGGCTGACTAGCAATCCTTAAAAATAGTTTTAAGACATGGCATTTTCCCATACAGTGAATGAGAGCTTACCACTTAAGACTCAGAGACAGTGCCCCCAACTAGTTCTCAAAATTCACTAAAATATATCAGGAGATAATACAATCATAAACTAGCACAATTTTAAAATATGCTAAGAAAAGTTGTTTAATACACCTTAGAGCTGTGTCTAATGTCTACCAGTTTCTAAGATACACACACAAATACACATACCTCTCCCTCCTCATACACCATGTGTCTCAACTCTAGTTTCAGCTTGTGGACCTCCCTAAGAATCTAGGGCAAGGCATGGAGCCCTTACAAAATACATGTTTATTCCATGCTGCAGCTTAGGGCATTACTAGTGACAACTGAAAATAAATCACTGCTCTTTTTAATAACCAATTCTATGGAAAATTATAATCTCCAAGAACACCAAAACTATCTCTGTCTCATACATCCTTATGTTCCCTGAATTCAAAACAGTGCCTCAATTTGAGATTAATTTGTGTAAATACATGAATGAAAGAATACAAGAAAATAAATTCCCAAACAGACATTCTTGATTTCATGGAAAAATATACCATGACATAATAAAAACTTACACATCTAACATTAGAAAATTAGTTTAAAACAAAATACTCAAGCAGCCATGCAGAGTTAATGGTGCTCAAACACTTCCTAAGTGCTTAACTAATGTGTCCCAGGCATCTTTATATGATGATAAAACCTAAAAACAAAACAAAAAAAGCAATTCAAAGGGTAACTTCAATTTTCTACCTTTTTAAAACCTTAGAAAACTGAATATAGAGGAAAGTAGCAGGTTTAAAAAAAATAAAATAAAAGGAGCCGGGCGTTGGTGGTGCATGCCTTAATCCCAGCACTTGGAAGGCAGAGGCAGGAGGATCTCTGTGAGTTTGAGGCCAGCATGGTTTCCAGAATGAGTGCCAGGATAGGCTCCAAAGCTACACAGAGAAACCCTGCCTCGGAAAACCAATAATAATAATAATAATAATAATAATAATAATAATAATAATAAATAAAAATAAAAAATAA